CCAGGAGAAAGATAGGGTTTCTGACTCCTCCCACAGATACTCCAGCCTCGGAAATTGACGGAAGGTCACCTTGTGGTCGACTTGGGTGAGTCTGGCTTTGGCCTCTTCCAAGATTCAGGCTCCTAAGGATGTTGTAATCTTCCCCTTGTCTGCTCCTAGACAACGAACTATTAAGTGACACTTGAGCCAATGTCACAATTCTTTATCTCATTTTAATGTTTCACTGGAAACCACAGCACATGCAGAGTGAGCTTTCTGAACTCCAGATAGCTTGGCTTTTAGGTCTGGCTTTAATTACTGTCTCCAACTTTTGTTCTTTTCTGGAAACATTAGACATTGAATGCTAATGTCAGGTTAAAATTATGTGGTGCCCTTGAAGGCGCATGAGTTTTGAAACCAATGTTCACTATAGCAGTAATTGAGCGTTTCATTTCCTTGAGCATTTTATGAATTTAATGAAAAAACAGGCTCTAGTTTGGTAAACAATTTGGCTCAATTGGACTGTCATAATACAGACAAATTGGGAGTTCTGTATTATTAAGTTGTTTTTAGAGAAACAGTGGAACAAGTCCAATTATTTACTCTGGAGATTTTTTTTTTTTTTACTCTGGAGATTTTGAGACTTCCTTATCTATTTTATATTTCTTACAGTCTGTTTGAAGAATGAAGTATGCTATAAACACATTCACATAATTATGACTATGTATATATTTCCATTACGTAGGTTATTTGTGGGTGAAAACCTTGCAGTTTGAAGAAGTCTCTCTTTTCGTGCTTGTAGGTTGAGGAAGTTGATTCAGGGAAAGCATTAAAGAGGGGTAAATGAGGGAGCCTAGCGGGGAAGGCACTGTGTTGCCAACCCAAAGGCAAGGGATTTGAATCCACCAGCTGCTCTGTGAGAGAAAGATGGACAGTATCTTTTTGTGTGGTTTATAGCATCTGAAAACCTGCTAGAGGGTCAGCTATGATTTGGTTCTGACTTGATGGCACTTAACAACATTTTGATCCACTACAGTGACATATTCTGTGTTCATTTGTGGTACAGTAGATGAATTGTTGGAAATGGCTTTTCTAGTCATTGGCTTTGACTTTTCTCAGTACATAGCTGGATGGTGGTGGTTGTTATTGTTAGGTGTTGTTGAGTACGACACATAGAGACCCTGTGAAGAGTCAAACTGAACCCCTCCCTATGACACACTAGAGCACATTGCTGAAGTCATTGCATCAGTCCATCTCATCAGAGGTCTTCCTCTCCTTTACTGACCCTCCATCTCACCAAGCATCATGTCCCTTTCCAAGGAATAGCCTCACCTAGCTATAAACTCAAAGTATGAAAGATGAAGCTATGCTAATAATAGCTGCGCTAATAAAGTGAAGGAAGTAAGAAGTCCCTTTAAGGTGGAAACATGCAAATAAGGAAACCCTGCATGGTTCAAAATCAGGCAAGGTAGACATTAGAGATGCATCCTTTCTCCATACCTTTTCAATCTATATGCGGAACACATCATTCGAGAGGCTGGACTTTATGAGGAGGAATGTAGCATCAGAATTAGAGGAAGACTCATCAACAGCAGTGTTATGCAGATGACACAGCCTTGCTTGCTGAAACAGAGGAGACCCTGGGGTGTTTGCAGCAGAAGGTCAAGGACAACAGTCTTCAATATAAATTGACGCTCAACTTGAAGAAGACAAAGATCCTCACCACCAGGCCAATTGACACCATCATGATAGATTGAGAAGAGATGGAGATTGCATTGGGAAAATTTGTTGTCAGGGACCATGGACTCTCCAAAGTGCTAAAGAGCTATGATGTCAGTCTAGAGATTAAAGTGCACCTGATCCAAGCTATGGTTTTCAGAAGAATTATTTGCTATCCATGACAGAGCTGGACAATGAGTAAGGATGATAGAAAAAGAATTGATGTATTTTGAGTTGTGGTACTGGAGAAGAGTATTGAAAACATCATGGACTGCCAAGAGAATAAACAGGTCTTTTCAACAAATTAAGCTTGCTAAGGAGGCAAGGATTTTTAACTCCATTTCACATACTTTGGGCATGTTGCCAGTAGGGGCTAGTCCTTGGAGAAGACATCATGCTTGGAAAGGTGGAGGGAAAGCACAGGAGAGGAAGACCCCAGGTGAGATGGATT